ACACACACACACGCACACACACACACACACACACACACACACACAAAAACGCACACAGAGACAACCCCGTAGGAATATGCGTTTTGTACTGTTGTTACACAGCACAAAACGCATAAAAACTATAAGTTACTGAATTATTCAACTAAACCTGCTATCAGCGGCGCTGCAACCAACCGGATTCTGTTGCTCATCTAGCTGCGGCTGTCCAAGACCACACGGATTTGGCAGCACTGTAAATTGTTTAGATGGAAACAAATAACAGCGAACGACAGGGACTAGCGCAAAAATATAATCTGCATGAAATGTCGCCGGAGATCGCATGTAGCAAGTTCTACACAAATCTGTTTGCATTTATTTGTCGATATTTCAACACCTGTAGTTTGCGCGATCAACTTGCGTGTGGGAGAAACTGTCAAAAAGACGCATGTTCGCACTAGTAAGACTGATGCGTTGCTAACTAGGTTTGTTTAGATCATAGAAATCATGGAAAAACAAAACAAAAACCGTGGCACAACTTGGTGAGAGATTCAGAGATGATTAAGGGGCATGAAATGTTGGAATTTGCTCTTCAACCAAAACAAAACACAGTAAGCAAAGTAAAATAATTCAGCTATCTGAGTAGCGAAAAACACATTTAAGAAAATCGCGGTAAAGGATTCAGGTTCATTGATGTGCGTGCGTACCTGGACATCGTGCTTCGCAATCCCGTACTGTAAGAAAGTTATTCTGGTTGCCGCCAAGTCCAGAGTACTGGAACTGCTGGCAGGACTGTCTTGCTGAGTCGTAGTAGAATCGTACCAGCTGCGCGTCTCCGTCACCGATTTCCAGTTCTTGAATACATGGTATTCCCGCACCAGGGCAACAAACCTGCACAAGTCTTTGGTTTAAGCACCAACGTCAAAATGTGTTTTTACACGTTTCTGTTGTGCGCTATAATTTTTACTAACAAGACTAGTTATGTGTGCGCATGTGTGTATGTGTGTATGTATCTTTCGTCCTGCCTGTCTGACCAGATATCTTAACTTCGGAACAGCGAAAGCTAAAAACTCGTGAAAAATATTATTCAACATGTACTGCCTTTTGAAACTGAAATCACTGGCAGGTTTTTTTGCCGCCGAAACCTGACCCATGCTTATACCTAATAAAGCGTAAAAGTGGTTACATAAAGACAGGTCTAATAATTGGCCAACGCACGGGCTGCCCGTGCGAAGATGCGTTTTTTGCATAGTTTCCTGCAGATTTTTGTCAACGGCACTGATTTTTCTGGCAGATGCTTCCAGCTAAAAGAATTTCAGACTGGCCGCCAGGACTGTCAGGAAAAATCCCTTCAAAATCCCAGTCTTCTAGCTTCTCACTTTCCCGAGTTAGCAACTTGCAGTTAGCAACTTTTTTCCCGGAAAGAACTTTCAAGGGCCCGTACGTAAGTACCACGCTTACCCGCGGGCACGGTTTGAATTCGTTAATACCTGCTTGGACGGGAAGCATTGTCCTAAGATTTCAGCGTTCTAGCTTCTCAGATCCCCGAGTTATGGACTTACCCGAAAAAAATTTTGGCAGATCCGTAAGCGGGTACCACGTTTACTCGGGAGATGGCTTTGAGTCCACTAATACTTAGTTGGACGGGAAACATTCCCCTAAGATTTCAGCGTTCTAGCTTCTCAGATTCCGATTCGCATTTTTTAAGCATAATTTGGTTCAATATATTTGCCGAATCTGTTTGGGGTTGGGCATGAGGCCGATGCGAAATCAACCTCCAGAAACTATACCGTTTTCACCTGCTTTCGCTTCAAATTCATTTATGAAATTACCCAAAAAGATTTTGGCGGACCCGTACGCGGGTACCACGCTTACTCGGGAGATGGGTTTGAGTCTATCAATACCTAGGTGGACGGGAAACATTA